GGGTTTTGTTCAAGCTGGGAGATTTGGGTCTCTAAGGCTATGTTGTTGGTTGCGAGCGAGTCAACCGCAGTGGTCAATTGCCGAAGGGTTTCACTGTTTTGAAGACTTTATTTTCTAAACTCTTTGTTCTGGACAGTTTGTGTCTCTATAAAGTGCTCCATCAGAGATTCTAACCTAGAGTGAGTTGGCGTCGCATCGGAATCCTCCATTGATGTTTCAAAGTTGAAATCATGCGATTCTTCTGATTCTTCAAATTGAGTTAGAGCCGCATTTTGTGTTTCCGTAAAGCGCTTTGTCATCATTGCTATTTCATTAAAATTTTCCATTAATGTTTCGAGGTCGGATTTATAGGATACTTGTGTCTCCTCAAAATATTGGGTGTAGTGATTGTAGGGGAAATTTGGTTGAGGTTAAGTTTGGTTGGAATTATAATATTCTTGCGATTCCTCAAAATATTGGGATTGGTGGTTGGAAAGGTAATTCGGGTGAGAATGAGTCTGTGATGCATTGAAATTCTCCAATAGTATTTCGAGGTCGGATTTATGGGATACTTGTGATTCCTCGAAATACTCAGAGTGGGGGTTGTAGAAATAATTTGGGTGATACATAGTAATTGGGACAAGATTTGTAGATGCAAAGACTCGCTTCGAGAACGAGTGTTTGGCATACAACAGAGGGAAATATAAAAAGTTTCCTTAGTCTAGATAGCGTTGTTTTCAGATTACACTAGTGACTAAACTAAAGTCCCCGGCAACGGCGCCAAAAACTTGATGTGTCTGCGATCGACCTAATGTCTAACGGTATCTTAACTGCAAGCGCACAGCCTATCGCGGTAGTAATAAAAGATTGTCGAATCCACAGGGACTTTGTAATCACTCTAGTGCGGGAAAGTAATGCTAGTTTAGCTAAGGCGGAAATTGTCACGTTGGTTTTGGGAAGGTTAAGGAAGGTAAACTAATTGATTTTAAAGTAATTATAAGATGAAATGGTCGGTATGCAATAGAGTCGACCTAAAGGATCTAATCGGACCTAGGCATATAAGGATGGTCAACTTGGTTTATCTGTAGAATTAATCAGTTTAAAACCCTCAACTCACACTTTCATGGTCTTATCTCGGATTATACGTCTAAAGCCCTATACCTGCTTTCGCTAGCCTATAAGTGTTTAGAAGTATTTTTTGGAAACTTAATTAATTCTAATTTGATTTAAAGCGCTTTCACTGTATTTAAATCAAATGCCTAACTTTAGCTATCCGGTTAAAAACCTCACACTTTCGTGGTCTCGATCTAACCTATTTACCCTTCTTACTTTCGTAACAAAGGTTTTATTTTTAAGCATAAAAAGTTATAACCAGAGTTAAGTTGATTAAAGTTTTAGCCTAAGTTTGATCAGATGCCTAATGTCTCTTACTATCCCATACCGACGCTAAAGGTTTAGCTAGCCATGGAAATTATAATGAACGTACTGGAAATAAAAACAAACAAATATAGATTGGATATTATAAATAATAAATTAAACATGCATTAATTAATTAAAAGGTATGTAATACAATTTCAAAATAGAAACCTGAAAATAAAGCCAATACTTCAATCCCTCTTCCATAAATCGGAAACTCGGACTTGGTATCGGTAATATGACAAATTCTGAGGCTTGAATAATAAATCCTAAACTATAATAATAATTCCCTGATGTTGGAAATTATTATTTGGGCAATGAAATTAAAAGAACGGAAATAAACGAATGCAGAAAAATAACAACTGAAGGAATAATGGTTTTGATTTCGGCAGAGCTTCCGCACAAGTAAACTGTAAAAATGCTCGCCCTTTCTAACGTTGAATGTTGAGGTATTTATAGAGGAATGAATTTGGCAGTTGGCTTGAAGACTTGTCACGAAGCTTTCCTTAAAAATCTCCATAAATGTAGGAACGTGGGTAGTTGGCTGGAGAGAAATCAGGAGTTTGAAAACTCCTTATGTTTTGCTTTGCCACGATCTGCACTTTCAAATAACTGGTATGCGCATTACGGTCGTCACTGAGGCGTTACGAGCAGGTTTGGTGTTTCTCCGTGTTACGGTCGTCGCAGATGTGTTACGGTCGTAACACGCTTCATGATGGCTTACGGTCGTGGCAGATGTGTTACGACCGTCACAGCTACAAAATCTGTAATTCTTGACAGATTTATCTTTTTCTTCTATTCTTTTGATGCTTTCTTGCATTGTTTCATGTTTTCTTCTGTTTTGAGCTGAGTTATGAATACCTGCAAAAAGTAATGACAAACTCGAAATATTCGGGAGTTAATCGGGTCAAAATAATACAAAACGGGTAAATTTCATGGAAAATAAATGATACAATTTCGTGTTATCATCACTCTCCATGGCCTCTACAAAAAACATAAAAAGACACTAGGAGAAGATCAAAATAGGAAGGACAAAATTCTAAAGTCACCCACCAAAGATTGTCTCCTTTTGCTTTTTGGATTTATCATCCACAACGCAACAGGTTTGGATGCACCTTTTTTAGTTTGGTCTGGGAGGCCAAATCAGACGGAATCACTCCGCCTACATAGCCAAGTTCTTGGCATAATTAGTAACAGAGCTTTCAAATACAATTCCTCTTTGGATAATTCTTCCTCCTGGTAAAGATACATCCTGGCTCCAGTAAAAAAAGACTCTGAGTCTAATATTTACGAAAGAGATCCGTACATGTAGAAGCGGTGCCAGGATTCAGACAATAACCCTTTACGTGGGCCTCTCTATTAAGAGGAACTACGAGAAATTAATGATCCTTAATATGTTTCAGTGTCAGAGTAAATCTCAAAGTATTTAACATTTTGGTCTTTATTGGAGAAAGCATGCCCCATCTTATGATGGACCCACATTAATCATCGGTTGAGCAAAAACGTCGCCATGAGAGAAAATAGAAATAACTTATGATATCTCATAATTTACCCACACTCCTAAAATGTCTTACCAACCTTCTTGGTTCAGACATATGTAATAACCTTGATTAAAGATGTTGAGAAATGAATGCATGTACGATGGGTGAGACGAACAAGTTCAAAGTGCCCACTATTCAAGAAACCTTAAAATGGTTTAAACGAAGAAGAGGGATGAAAGCTTAAACGCCAGAATCACAAGTTCAAATAAGAGACCAAAAACGTAAAGATGAAAGCGGCATACGAAATTTATTAGGCCCAAATCAACACTCATTCCAGAAGGTCTCTAGAAAGGAAGGTAAAAAAGTGAAGAATTTTCTTGTGCAAAGTCAATAATAGTAAATAAGAGGCAACAATGACTCTTCGAGAACCTTGTATACTCCCTTAAAAAATTTAGGGTCATACGATCACTCCCTGCCATCAATGGTTGAGATCTACCAAAAACTGTTCAAAAGATACTTGAGTACCCTCAATATAAGTAGATCATGATTGCAAGCCAAAGTGGGGATACATGTCAATCATCCTCAATACCTCACAGTGCCACATAAGAGTGTTATTTAAATTTGTTGTTTCCCAAGAAATACAGTGTTCTATCAAATATCTCTACACTATGACCTCATGTCCTGGTGAAGTCACTTATTACAAACCTTTGCTCTGGATAACAGAAGACAAAGGCTTGAGGGGAAACTGTTATAAGTCGACTGAAAAACCCAAAAAGCATAAAAGCCCAATACAAAAAAGGGGTAAACACAAGACGGGGATGGTCGAATTTTGGGTCTCACACCTCCCAAATTATCCCACTCTCAAAACTCATTCTCCCCGTCCATATCCATCTAACGATCATTTACGTCTCACGTCCAATCTCACTTTTCAATTGCAAACTAACTCTCTTATTTAAAGGAATTAGTGTGTCATTTTCTTTATATAGATTTCATAATCCATTGGCACTACATTTATCACTCTCTTATTGATTTGTGAGAGTGTCAAACTTACATGTCAACCCCTCTCCTCTATATCAGAACTTTGAACCATCGCAACACCACACCAGTTTAACCCATCCGATCATCGTTTCGTTTTTTAAGGTAACATAAAGTAATTTAAATGTGTTGCTATAAAAATAGTATTTCCAGACTTATTTTAATAAGCCTTTGTATTATAAGCTGCAATATAAACTATTTATTCAAATAAACCATATATTTAAATTATAAGATAATATCAAATCTAAGAAGATTTTGCTCATGGTGAAGATAAGAATATCTTATCTTACGACATCAAAGAGCAAGTTTTGGTGTTAAATAAGTACACTTTCATTAACCAACTTAATTAATAAATCATTTCAGCATAGTGAAGAGCTAATTAAGACCATGGTCAACTAAACATGCTATTACCATGAAATATATACATCCATAAATTATTAGACTTGAAAATCTTATCTTCATGAAAGAATTGTGGGACAAATAATTAAGAATTTTAATAAGTGGGCCTTTCAATAGGTAACCTTTTTCTTGATTTTGTATTATAACTTAGGGTTGTTTCCAATCTACGCAAGCCAGGGAAGACTCATAACATTCAATTCTTGGATAATTTTCTGTCTGTTATAACTGCTCCCTTTGAAAATCATGAAAACTAATGCTAAAAAGTTTCTTCTTTTTAACTTTTTAATTGTGGACATTACTAAGATAAGAAAGAGAATACATTTTCTAACTGTCACTACAACTATGATTTATATGGCTATTGTCCTATAATCATCTAACTATAAGAGTTGAAATATACAAGAAACCTACTTCATGGAATTGAAATGTGTAAAAACAAAAGTAGTCAACTATTGTAAAAAATTGGTGTTAGGTCTAAAAAAAATCCAAACATTAATGAAAATGAAAGATCTTTTCCATAAAAAAGACATGTACAAAATGTCCTTTTACATCTCTCAATGATCAAGTAAGTGTCTTTAAAAGACTTGCCATATTTTTCATTCTATTCTATGCTCTCTACTCTCTTCTCTTCCCTTACCTACATTTCATTTCCCTACCTTAACCAACACTAATTTTCTCACCATTTTCCTAATTATGTCTACCTCAAGAACCTCATCAAACAGTTTTCTCAAAGGACATGATCATCAACACAATCAGACTCAAATAAATTTATCTCTACTTCAACGGAACACGTCGGTTTACAACGACAAAAGAGGAAGAAGAAAACAAGTAGAAGAAGGTAGGTTTCTTGGTGTAAGGAGAAGACCTTGGGGTAGATATGCAGCTGAAATCAGAGATCCTAATACTAAAGAAAGACATTGGTTAGGAACATTTGATACTGCTCAAGAAGCTGCTTTTGCTTATGATAGAGCTGCTCTTTCCATCAAAGGTAGCGATGCTAAAACAAATTTCATATATTCAACTTCTTCTGAATCTCATGAAACCAATCTTCACAATGTTGTTGTTACTCCTTTAGATCCTCAAAAAACACAACCAGTTACCAACCAAACTAGCCTCTCTCAGCTTGATGGTAACTCTCATTTGAACAATGAGAATTTGTTCTTCTCTAATGATTCTACTGACTCAGGCTATCTTGAATGCATTGTTCCTGTTAACTGTTTCAAACCTATTTCAAATTCCAACAATTCTAACTTTGATCATCAGAGCAATGCAAGTGGTTCAAGTGAAAATCATCGCCAAAATGTTGTTGATTCCATGCAGGGTCAATCATTTCTCGACTACAATGCATTCTCTCAAGAAGCATTAAACATTGATACAAGTGAAAGTAGAGAAGGATTATGGGATTGCAATTACAATGAACTTGCAGCTATTTTTAACAAACCGTTGAGTAATGAAAGTCCAAACTATGAACTAATGACAACTCGTGATGTTTCTTCATATGCCTATTCTAATCCAGCATATTCTTCTTTCGGCGAAGTTGACATGGAATACTCGCTCTTTTGAGGATAGCAGTTGTGTAAACCGTTAGGTTTTTTTGAGCTCTCTTTATTGAAGCAGCTTTATTTTAAAGAAGGGTGTGTGTTAGAGTTTGCTTTTTGTGTACATGTGCAATCAATCATTTGCATGCACTTAGTACGTTGTTACTACGTTGGTCTAATATTTATAAGAACTAGAAAGTCTTTTTCCTTCTTCTAAAGTGATTAATGAATGATTGAATTAAACACATGGGGTTAGGTCTTTTGAGGTGGTTATAAAATGTTGAAAAAATGGCAGGAGTGACCACTAGAGTGCTACTAGTTATGTCTTTCACACAAAGGAAAATCATATTTATTCCACCATGTTATATGATATTCATGTTAGAATTAAATGATCTTACAATCAATCAAATAATCATACAAACATTATAAGATTAAAAAATCGATAAAATTAGGAATATATGGATCCATTGAGAAAATTTTTATTAGCAGTTATACTCCTGAAGGTTAAGAGATGAATAATGGATATTTGATGGCTTGTGTGATTCTTCTTCAACCAGTATTCTTAATGTCTTGAATATTCTTCGGATGGAGAGAAGAAATTATTTTACTTGTGTACGGTATATTGGCACTACAAGAATACCCTGGTTTAGCTTGGGGCAAATGGCTAGGGGTTAAGCTCCTAGCTAAATTTAACATTAGCTTGGGGTTATCCCCTATCTAAATAATATACAAAAAAAAATTTAAAATTTGGAGCTCCCCGTAGCTAAATTTTAGGAGGGAGTTTGAAAATAAATTCATTGGCCATTTGCGAGGGGGTGGCACGTGGGAAAAAGAAAAATCATTTAGCGAGGGGTATCACCTCGCCATTAAAAATAGTAGTTGGCCATTTGCGAGGGGTCATCACCTCGCCAACAATCACTACAAGAATATATGTCCCCAACGACATATATTAGCGACGTGATTATCACGTGAGTAGTAGCGACGTGATAACCACGTCGCTAATATATTTTAATGACAAATAATGCAAATCAGAGAACGTTGTAAAGTAAAAACATCAGCGACGTGTCTTACACGTCGCTACAGAAGGGGAAAATTTGAATTTTGGTAGCGACGTGATAGCCACGTCGCTATATTAAAGGGGGGAAAATAAATTTGGTTGATGACAGGGTTTCAGAGTGGGAGAGAGAATAATTTTTCTGTTTAGTGTGTAGCGACGTGATTATCACGTGGCAATGTTGCGACGTGACAGTCACGTCGCTACTTGACTTTACATCTCCAAAATTTTCATCCGTTACAGCAGCGTTGTTTTGCTTTCTTCTTCCTTTCCTCTTCCTTTCTTCTTCCTCTCAAACCCATTCTTCTTCCTCTCAAACCCAAATTCCCGAATCAAATTTCCTCCATCCCAAATTGTTGAAGAAAAATAAGGTATTCATATTTTGATAAATGTTTATTTCGTTTGTTCATTATTTATTATACTGGAAAGAAATATTAAAAAGGGTATTTGTTCATTTGTTCATTATTTGTAGAGAAATTTGAAGAAGAACACCAAGAGCCAAGAAGAACCAAATTTATTGAAGAAATTATATAGAGGTATTTATGCATTTTTTTATAGATTTTATATGTATTATATAGATTAGTGGTATATGTATTTTGTGGTTAGGAAGTATATGTATTTTGTTAGTAGTATATATATGTACTGGTAATAAAAAATTTTAGAAAACATAAAATTAAAAGTCTTATTTTTTATAGATATATATATATATATATATATATATATATATATATATATATATATATATATATATATATATATATATATATATATATATATATATATATATATATATATATATATATATATATATATATATATATATATATATATATATATATATATATATGTTAACACATAAATTTAATAACATATTTAAAAACAAAAATGTATATTATATTTATTATAATAGTTTTATTTTTTTATTTATATGTTAAAGATATGAAAAAAATTATATATTAAAATAAGAATTTATAAAAAACATAATTAAATATATATATATATATATATATATATATATATATATATATATATATATATATATATATATATATATATATATATATATATATATATATATATATATATATATATATATATATTATATTATTATTTTAATATTATTGTTATATATATAATAAAAAGTATATATGTTACATTATTTGTTTTCTAATATTATTGTTGTATATATAATAAAAAGTAAATATGTTATATTATTGTTTTTTGATATTATTGTTATGTAATAAAAAATTATATATTTTACATTTGAATATTTATTTATATGTTAGTATATATATAAAAAAGCAAAATTTATATTTTTAAGAATAGTATTAAATAGTTTAAGAATAATATTATTAAGTTGATTAATATTTCTAATGAAAAAGATAATGATTGTATAAATGTGCAGTATGGAATATTATCGGTATTATCGCAGTTGGATGTACGATAGAACATATCCAGGAAGAAGTGGACTTAAACCCAATTTTATAGTAGGAGTTGATGGGTTTATTAAGTGGGCGTTTGCTCAGGATTGCTGTCGAAGCGAAGGAGAGGTTAGGTGTCCCTGTCTTAAATGTGAATGTAGACCAATAATTAGTGACCCAGAGGAAGTAACACGTCATCTGCATAGAAGGGGATTCATTGAAAATTATTGGGTTTGGACGTATAATGGTGAAGAACTACCGATTAATGTACCAGAGACTAGCAACACGCATGCTTCAAGTAGTCGACCGGTTATGGAGTATGAGGAGAACTTTAATTTGATTGGTGACATGGTTAAGGATGCTTTTGGTGTGAACGTGACATATGATGAACCTGAAGATTTTGACGGGGAAGAGTTGCCGAATGAGGAAGCGCAAAGATTTTATCAATTATTGAACGAGATGAATACGTCGTTGTTTGAGGGGTCGTCAGACTCGAAACTATCAATGTGTGTGAGATTATTGGCCGCCAAGTCAAATTGGAATGTTTCTGATCAATGTCTGGAACATTTTGCAAAAATGATGTTGGACTCCACCGCTACGAAAGACAACTTGCCTACAAGTTATTATGATGCAAAGAAGTGGGTGTCGAAGTTGGGTTTAAAAGTAAGAAAGATTGATTGTTGCATTAACGGTTGCATGTTGTTTTATGACAATGAGTTTGGTACTCAAGATGGATCGTTAGAGGAGTGTAAGTTTTGTAATAGTCCAAGATATCAAGTTCGCAGTAGAGCCGTTAACAGCAAGCAAAAGCGTGTAGCAGTAAAATCCATGTTTTATCTTCCTATAATGCCAAGGTTAAAAAGAATGTTTGCTTCAATGCACAGTGCAAGTCAAATGACATGGCATCATACAAACCAAACAAGTTCTGGCACTATGCGACATCCATCTGATGGTGAGGCATGGAAGCACTTTGATCGGACACATCCAGATTTTGCTGCAGAACCTAGAAATGTCAGGCTTGGATTATGCTCTGATGGATTTGCCCCATACGTGCAAGCGTCAGGAAGTGCGTATTCTTGTTGGCCAGTTATTGTAACACCTTACAACCTCCCTCCTGAGATGTGCATGACAAAACCATACATGTTTTTGACGTGTGTTATTCCAGGCCCGCACAGTCCAAAAACCGGAATTGATGTGTACTTACAACCTTTAATTGATGATTTGAAGAAGATGTGGGTTGGAGAATGGACTTATGATATATCCCGTAAACAGAACTTCACATTACGAGCTGCCTTGATGTGGACCGTTAATGACTTTCCAGCATATGGCATGTTGTCTGGTTGGGGTACGCATAGAAAAATGGGTTGTCCGCATTGCATGGGATACACCAAAGCATTTACGTTGGATAAAGGTGGGAAAAGCTCATGGTTTGACTGTCACCGCAGATTCCTACCAGCAAATCATCCATATAGAAGAAACAAGACAAATTTTAAAAAAGATGTACGAGAGAAAGATTTGCCTCCGCCTCGATTGCCACCAGGGGTTATATGGAACCAAGTATGTGAACTACCAAAATTTACAGATACTGGCAAAGCATGCCGAATTGAAGGATACGGCGTCACCCACAATTGGACAAAAAGAAGTATATTTTGGGATCTTCCGTATTGGAAAGATAATTTGTTGCGCCATAATCTTGATGTTATGCATATTGAGAAGAATTTTTTTGATAATGTATTTAACACAGTGATGGATGTGACAGGAAAAACAAAAGATAATGAGAAGGCCAGACAAGACATGGGAATTTGGTGTAATCGAAGAGAGTTGGAGTTGAAGCCTCAACCGAATGGAAAATTATTAAAACCCAAGGCTTGTTTCAGTCTGACTTCCCAAGAAGCTAAAGCGGTTTGTCGATGGTTAAAAGAATTGAGAATGCCCGATGGGTATTCATCAAATTTAGCAAGGTGTGCTGACCCTAACACTGGAAAATTACATGGTATGAAAAGTCATGATTGTCACATTTTTATGGAACAGTTGCTACCAATTGCATTTGGATCGCTACCCAAACATGTTCTTGACCCACTAACTGAAATTAGTCAATTTTTTAGATATATTTGTGCGTCAGCTTTAAAAGTGGAAGACATCATTAAGTTGGACCAAAACATTGCACTCATTCTTTGTAAGTTGGAACAAGTATTTCCGCCTGGTTTCTTTGACTCCATGGAACATTTACCTGTGCATCTTGCATATGAAGCTTATCTTGGTGGACCTGTTCAATATAGGTGGATGTATCCGTTTGAAAGGTTCATGGGTGATTCAAAGAGATCGGTAAAAAATAAAGCTAGAGTAGAAGGATCTATATGTGCACATTACTTGCATCGGGAAACATCACATTTTTGCAGTCACTATTTCAATCACTTGATGTTAACTCCTAGAATCATACGGAATCCTGTAAATGTCAATCAGAGGAGTCAATTCAACTTATCAGTCTTTGCGCTTCCAGGTCGACCTTCTGGAAAGAAGGGTGTGCATTGGTTGACCCAAAAAGAAATT